TTTGTTTGAAGCCTCTTCGGTGTGAACACGAGAGCGGAGTCACACTTTAGCATTCCAGATTCCAAATCCAGAAGGGAGATTTACCGTCAACATACCATCTAACAATATATCTCGAGGTCACAGTGTGCAGAACTTGACAAATCCCATACTACCATAGCTTGATAATCAAACAAAACTCCTACAGTCCTGGTTAGTTATTTCACTGATTATAACACCAACAAACCAGATGTACATAGACCCAGATAATATACAGAAGATAGCAGCACATGTAGATTTCTTCACTAACCTATAGTATGACAAACTTTGAAGAAATGTTTCTTCATCTGTGTATGATGAACAATATATATATAACTACTGTTAAAGACAAAGATTTTAACAATGATAAAATTGTCTTTAACAATATTATTTAACACAATTGTAAAGACCTATCCAATATCATCTAGGTGTAAATCCACTCTTTGTCAACTTACAAATTTTTATCAAAATGGGATTTTTTTTTGTTGCTAAGTGTTTTTACCAAGGTATTCTCTATATTTCATTATTCTTAAAAGTTTCTCATCAACTTTCCTTTTGGCCTGCAATGACCATTCACTTGTTGTACAAGCTAAAAAAACCCTGTTCTAAAATATCACTTCTGAAGAGGATGGGTCAATCCCTTTTTGTGCTTTTTAAAAGGTTGAGATCAGAAACAGCTATAAAATAAATTATATGATACTTCACTGTTGGTATGACCTAGGTCCTCCATTCCCAAGATTTACTGCTCAATTACAACCAGCCCAATGGAGTAGGGAACAGTGGGGCACTATGGGAAAATGTTCGTAAAAAGCAAAGGTTTTCTACCTGCCTTTTAACTTCACGAAATTCATTTTTTAAATAGTTTTTAGTTAATTTAAAGAAGGTAACATTTGCCAATAATAACCCTTAATCTCAATATCCTTCTGTAAGAAACAAGCAACAACATTAACCAGACACATGGCTTTGTACGGGGTGGAATAGAAATTCTAGGGTACCTATAATTGTTTTTAAAATTACCCAGGTAAAAAGCCGTTTTCTCTTTCATTAACAGCTGTTGAAGGTGTACATTTTTTCCACTGTAGTGTCATTTAGATAACCATTTCTTAATATATTCACCGTTTTCAGTATGTGTCAGTCAAAACATTGTTGATTTACAGTGAACATTCAACCTGTGATAATATTGTGATAATCACCTTAAATTATCACCTTAATTCTTCTAGAGATTTGTCTCAAACCTTGTCTTTACAATTCGGGTGAGAGGGTGCAAATGTAGGTTCTTTGTGAAATACCTCTTACTGTGATTATTAGGCAATATTTGGCAATGAGAATATGTTACATATGTATCGTGTTACGTTTGAATAGTGTGCATTATGACAAATAAACTCTAACAGAAATCTTAATTTAAGTGTAGCGTGAAAACATCAAAAGAAAACATACAAAAAAATTTAAAAATTTGTCAGTGGAAATTTGCCAAATCAAGACAAACTCAGACGTAAAAACCCTGTTCTTGGAGAGTTGGATGCTTTTTTTATCTTCTCCAGTTTTTAGTTTCTGGATACGTTGTGCCTCTGCCAACACATCTTATAACCAAGGAACCGTTCAAAAGGTTAGAAGCTGTCAAAAACGCCATAAAATGTACATTACCTTTTATATCAGTTACAGGGTTTCCCCTTGTCTGGTCCCCCGTAAATATGTATGTATATATACTCAACTCACACTAACTACTTGTGCAGGTGTGCACATCAAACCTAGGAAGATTGAGTTCATGATAAGGCCTCCTGAACACTAGAGCACACAAGATATAGAGGGAGGGAAGACCGAGAATGCTCTCAACCATAGAGCCATAAAAACCAGCTGAAGGAGAGAGGGCTCCAGATAGAAGGGGCAAATATAGCTCCTGAAGGGTTTACAGTTCTACACAAGATATCACACACATGCACACGTGTGAAGGAACACCGCTTACGAAACAGAGGATAGAACAAATAGGCCAAGGACAGCTGATCCAATAGGAGACAGAATAATTAGGCTCACAAGAAGTGAGACCCACAACTGCTACCTAACTGGAAGAGACCAAAAAGGTCCAAAATTTCTCACAAAACTGGGGATAAAATATATAAATACCTAATTACTTACACATATGTGATAGACCAAATGGGCCAACAACAGCTTACCAAACAGAAAGAGTACCAAACAAGGGATAGACCAAATATTTGTCCTTTTTTGTACCATTAACAGGACAAAGAACTGAGATGTAAAAATTGTTCTGACTAAAATGAAATGGAGGTGGCTGAGCTGTTTCTTGAACTGCTTCAGTGAGTTAATAAAGATTTGAAGAATCCCTAAAGCGTAAACATATATTTTCTGAGCAGTTATAATGGGTATATCTAAATTATGAACTGTTATTCAGTGCTTGTAAAAAATTCCAAATGTTTAAAAATTTGAATTAAAATACTTCAGAACATTAATATTTGGGAAAATGGACATTTACATCAGTGTACTGTGTTAAGGTACTAACTGACATATATTGTTTGCACTGCCTGACAGCAAAGTCTCCTAACACCCATGTACATATATACAAGTAATATTGCATGTTTTTTTCTTGTTGATTAAATCTACATATATCTCAATAAAGAGTGTTATTTCATTTTCGTCTATCATCATTGACTGGCACTTCTTCATTTCTACAATGAGAATGATAGCATGCAGGCTTGAAAGCATAAAGACAAACATTGAAAACTGTCTTTAACACAACAGTCACTTTCATACTCAACAACCTCTGTGTATCTATGGAAACAGGTTTCAATTCTGTGGATGAATATAGACTTAGCAATTAACTACATGAAGTGTATATGTGCCAAGTATACCGTTTTAAGTAGACATACTATTGGCAGACTGATATTTTGCTGTACTTAACATTGGTTACCTATCCCAGCATAACCTTTGTCTAAACAATTCTGACTTGGATCATTCAAGAATTAGCATCCCGGATTAGATTTGGCCCATCACTCCAGTCTTGACAACACTCTGGCTAATACTAAACAGACTAATTTAAGTTCAATAACACGATTCATTTCCCTTTTCTACCCAGGTCAGTGCAAGAGAAGAATAGATTTTGGCAAGTCCTTTCACAATATACCCACAAAAGCTAGGGGAGAGGTGAAAGGAAATAGCTTAAACTCACACACCTGACTGGGAAGATGAAACATTCTCCTAACCACTTGAACCAGACTCTGTGTGTCAAAATTTTAAATTGAAAATCTTTCTGTGGTCAACAGGACTTTTGAGAACTTTTAACTGTCCCTAGGACAATGCTTGAGGAAGGACAAAGCCTGGATTTCTGAGTGTCCTTGTTTGTGTGTGTGCCCGCCCTATTTCTCTTATCATTGTACTGACTTAACAATGACTACCTTTAAGAAAAGTTTTATGAGAGCACAGCCAGGGTTAGAGTTTTCAACCTTTTCAACCTCTGCATGGTACATGCCTTCACCGACTTGCATTACAGTTTTTATGGCTCACCAAGTAAAATGCCCTACCTCTGTATAAACAGAGGTCATTGCTTTGGTTTGGAGTTGTCTTAGTTCAACTCTTTCTCTCTAAAAAAAAAATTCGTTCAATTTTTACCACAATAAAATTCACTTAATTAGAATTTACATTCTAACATTTTTCCACACAAAATCTCTCAGCAAATTTGATACATACATATCCTCTCACAATTAACACTAAGAATGCAATTTTGGTCAACTATATTGGAAAAAAGAGACACATTTGGATACAATATGGAATGGTTGTTGGTGAAACTGCTATTTCAGCACATAAGATACCGCCTGAATTTTTAACTTCTGTAGTATACATTACTACTATGTATTTACAGGTGTAAAAAATAACCCCAAAGACTGCAAATTATAATAATGCCCTGTTTACGATACATCAGAAATTCCTCATTGGACAAGATACTGTACCAATACATCAATGACCTTGTGAACATTGTTATATGATCTTTTACTTCCATTGACGAAAAATTTAATAGGTATTAAAATATGTTAATAATTATCATATATTAGATATCATAACATACAGCCCAATATCTAGGAAATGAATTATGCATACATGTAATTCCATTTTTCCCCCACATAGAAAGACTTGTATCAAAACTGAGCTAGTATAGTATGTTACTCTATCACTTTAATTTGTTAAAAATTTTTATGAACGAAGTTAACCTCTATAAAACTTTCTCTGACAAGACTTTTTCCTTTTCTATCTTATATAAAAATGTCCAATTGTGTTTCAAGCTTCCAATATATTTGATAAAAAATACATTCTATCACATACTCACTTTCACCCTAAATATTAATTCATTTAGACAGTCATTATACACGTAGCACCCAGTTTATTCTCAGTTTGAAATATCACATATTCTGTTGCACACAGCTTAATTTCTTTTCTCTAGTTACTTTAAACTCCAATTATCTCCCTTCATTGTCATTCAATGACAATCATTTCCGTACTTATCACCCTTGTAATTCAACACAATAATTTTCCATACTTACCTCCCTTTTTTAACACACTCTTTTCCATACACTTTGTATGCAATATATATTTATATATATATTCTATATACAGATTTATACAAGTTAAAACATTGTTTGGACATGCGGGACAGATGAACAGGTTTTTGGTGGGTCAACAAAACAAAGTCCTATCATTTGTTTGGAGGAATAAGAAGATAGTTCCTCTGATTGGCTTTAGCAATATGAAAATTTAAAAATGAGGATGAGAATTATGAGGATGTAAACAAGATGAAAATGAAATTGAGGATGAGTTTAACAATGTGTTCATACCTGATAACGAAAGCTTGGTATCCATGACAACAATCAAGTGACACAGATACATACAGATGAGGCTACGATGTTCCAAAGAATTCACAAATGCTAATTAAGGTAAACGCATACAGGTATTTCACAGGTAGATGAGAGACCTGTGCCTAACCTGTGTTATACTGGATGGTACTGGTGCCACAGACACAGTAAAATCGTTAATACTAAAATTCTTAAAGATGATGTGTAGTTAGTCCTGAAGGTGGCAGCACTGCTGTGCATGTTGTCATACCTTGAGAGGTCTGTACGATTTGTTTGTGTCTGCCTCATTTCAGGTGTAAGCTCGATGAGGTCCTGCCATGCCTGGTAAGCTGACACAGTGAAGACTTTGTCCCCTGTTGTCATGAGATCGAACACACACGAATCGAAATAAAAATCCACAACTTTGGCTTGTTTACACAAATTCACAGCATCTGAACGCTGCATTTCAATGCTATCACTACTAACACCGGTAGGAGGTAAAATTTTGTTTTTCTTTTCAGCTAAATACTTTTGATAATTAATCCGTTCTTGTTGTGGGCAACCGCGGACACACAATTCCAACACATCCTCTTCCCTGCTTTTATTTATCACTTCTTGTGGCATTTTGATCGCAAATGTGAAATACCGACCTATTTGGCGAACCACAATTGTTGTGTCTATGAATCTAAGGTATATTTTTATATGTTTGCCAGGTTCTATTTCATACAGTCTCACACTGTTGTCTGGACCATAGGTCGTACTACCATCATCAAACGACCCAGGCAAATTGTCTGTTTGTGCAGCATAGGTCACAAAGCGATGAGCTGCACAATCTTCATTCTTCTTTATCACAACTGTAAGCTGTAAACAAACAAAAACGTTATTAATGTCTTGTTTCCTTAGTTGCATTAGCAACAGTTAGGTTAATATGAAAATAATCATATCAATCACCTTAACAGATGAAATTTAATAGAGGTAAACATTCTAGTACTAGAAGTATAAAGTAGTGTTAGAAATAAAATGTAGAAAATAGAAGTTAAAAAAATGTAGAGTAAGAGACGATAATGGTAGAGGATTCTGGGATATCACAGGTAGACTTGAAAAAGGCAGAGGAGTCCAAAAAATAGCACAAAAGTTGTGAAAGAACACAGGAGTCACAGGCGAGTAAGAAAGCCTTCCACTCATTCTAATTTAAATCAATGATAAAACCCTATGTCAGGACATGAACAGTGGCAAGTACATATTTTATTCTCACTTTGAATCTTTTAGAAAATATCTTTACTTTTTACCTATACCTATGTAGACATGTTTTACTCTGCTAGATCATTTTGTGTGATAGGGCTGAGGTAGATGTGTACCTGTCACACCTGTAGATAACAGAGTCTATTGTCCTAACACAGGTGTTCCACTCAGCTTTATTACATTGCCTACCTATTGATCGTAACAAATTAATCACATCCTACATAACCTTCACGTGTATACAACCAATTTAACTTTTTTTTTCAAAAGAAAAAACGAAGTGTAAATCACTGAGTGAAACCATATATGAACACTCCAGTAGGTAGTGAGTGGACTCTTATATCACTGTGGTATTCACAAGTTTTAAAATTCATATGATTTAAACTAGGGCATGCATGTAAATCAATGAAGTAGGATACAAAATTTATGATAAAATACAAAAAATTCAATTTGCCGTCACTGTCAACACCTCATTAACTGAGGTAATCCACAGCTTAGCTGTAAGTTTACATAACCATTACATAAAGGCAGTTTTCTCCAATCAACTATATCCAAAAGGCATGAAAAATGTTTAACAAAGTACAAAGTATTTAAACAGTGGTAATGTGAGGCAATATAGAAGCAGAGTAAAACTTAACAGAGGCAATATGAACACCAAGTAATACTCAACATCATCGATATCGAAACTAAGAAAAACACTAACTGCCTATAAGGAAACCAAGTACAACCTAAGAGTGGCAATGTGGAAACCAAGTACAACCTAAGAGTAGCAATGTGGAAACCAAGTACAACCTCAGAGTAGCAATGTGGAAATCTAACGACAGCAGTGTGGAAACCAAGTACAACCTCAGAGTGGCAATGTGGAAACCAAGTACAACCTAAGAGTGGCAATGTGGAAACCAAGTACAACCTCAGAGTAGCAATGTGGAAATCTAACGACAGCAGTGTGGAAACCAAGTACAACCTCAGAGTGGCAATGTGGAAACCAAGTACAACCTAAGAGTAGCAATGTGGAAACCAAGTACAACCTCAGAGTAGCAATGTGGAAATCTAACGACAGCAGTGTGGAAACCAAGTACAACCTCAGAGTGGCAATGTGGAAACCAAGTACAACCTAAGAGTGGCAATGTGGAAACCAAGTACAACCTAAGAGTAGCAATGTGGAAACCAAGTACAACCTAAGAGTAGCAATGTGGAAACCAAGTACAACCTCAGAGTAGCAATGTGGAAACCAAGTACAACCTCAGAGTAGCAATGTGGAAATCTAACGACAGCAGTGTGGAAACCAAGTACAACCTCAGAGTAGCAATGTGGAAATCTAACGACAGCAGTGTGGAAACCAAGTACAACCTCAGAGTGGCAATGTGGAAACCAAGTACAACCTAAGAGTGGCAATGTGGAAACCAAGTACAACCTAAGAGTGGCAATGTGGAAACCAAGTTCAACCTAAGAGTGGCAATGTGGACACCTAGTACAACCTAAGAGTAGCAATGTGGGAACCAAGTTCAACCTAAGAGTGGCAATGTGGACACCTAGTACAACCTAAGAGTAGCAATGTGGGAACCAAGTTCAACCTAAGAGTGGCAATGTGGACACCTAGTACAACCTAAGAGTGGCAATGTGGAAACCAAGTACAACCTAAGAGTGGCAATGTGGAAACCAAGTACAACCTAAGAGTGGCAATGTGGAAACCAAGTACAACCTAAGTGTGGCAATGTGGGAACCAAGTACAACCTAAGAGTGGCAATGTGGAAACCAAGTACAACCTGAGAGTGGCAATGTGGACACCTAACAGCAGCAGTGGAAACCAAGTACAACCTAAGAGTGGCAATGTGGACACCTAACGGCAGCAGTGGAAACCAAGTACAACCTAAGAGTGGCAATGTGGAAACCAAGTACAACCTAAGTGTGGCAATGAGTGGCAATGTGGAAACCAAGTACAACCTGAGAGTGGCAATGTGGACACCTAACAGCAGCAGTGGAAACCAAGTACAACCTAAGAGTGGCAATGTGGAAACCAAGTACAACCTAAGAGTGGCAATGTGGACACCTAATGCAGCAGTGGAAACCTAGTACAACCTAAGAGTGGCAATGTGGACATCTAACGGCAGCAGTGGAAACCTAGTACAACCTAAGAGTGGCAATGTGGAAACCAAGTACAACCTAAGAGTGGCAATGTGGACATCTAACGGCAGCAGTGGAAACCTAGTACAACCTAAGAGTGGCAATGTGGAAACCAAGTACAACCTAAGAGTGGCAATGTGGACATCTAACGGCAGCAGTGGAAACCTAGTACAACCTAAGAGTGGCAATGTGGAAACCAAGTACAACCTAAGAGTGGCAATGTGGACATCTAACGGCAGCAGTGGAAACCTAGTACAACCTAAGAGTGGCAATGTGGAAACCAAGTACAACCTAAGAGTGGCAATGTGGACATCTAACGGCAGCAGTGGAAACCTAGTACAACCTAAGAGTGGCAGTGCCAAGCACAATCCAAATCAAAACAAAACACTGCTTAATTGTAATTATATAGGAGCAAAACACAATAGTAGCAGTTTTTGAGTCAAAGAAGAGACAAGGAACCCAGTTGTACAAATGAGTACTAAGCATAACCCAGTAGTATACCATTAGTATAGCACATTGGTGGTGCTACATGGCTCTAGGAACACCACATGCTCCCATTTTTTAATTACAATGCAGTTTAGTTCTATATCTTAAAGATCATGCTAGATTTCACAAGTTGCAAAATTCATTGGGAATTTGATTATGTGTGTCTTATTAATTTACATCAATTAATAAAATCATATTAATCAAACTTAATAGACATAAACCAGGTATAACGCTGCTGAGAGTGAATGCTAGTCATTATAGACTATTTATAGAAGGAGGTATCAACAGGCTTACAACAGGTAAACAGACCAGGTTTTGTCTTCCTTCACACTGAAACTATTTCAGAAACCTGTTGGCAAAGACAATTTTAATAAATAAAATAACAAGCTTTATCTTATCTTTTAATTAAGTAAATAATCCTGGTTCAATTTTCAAGGACTTTAATTAGTGAACTTCAAATAAAATGTATAACAACATGAAACTGACTTTCAATTTTGCACCACTGTCGGAGGCTGGATGAATGTCAATTATCTGGGTCTGGGTGTGACCAAATAAAGTATGTCCACTATCAGGGGCTGAGTGTGACTGATACAGTATGTCCACTATCAGGGGCTGAGTGTGACCCATACAGTATGTTCACGATCAGGGGCTGAGTGTGACTGATACAGTACATCCACTATCAGAGGCTGGGTGTGACCAAATGAAGTATGTCCACTATCAGGGGCTTAGAGTGACTGATAAAGTATGTCCACTATTAGGGGCTGGGTGTGACTGATACCGTATGTCTGGGGCTGGGTGTGACTGATACAGTATGTCCACTATTAGGGGCTGGGTGTGACCGATACAGTATGTCCACTATCACGGACTAGGTGTGACTGATACAGTTATCCACTATCAGGGGCTGGGTGTGACTGATACAGTATGTCCACTATCAGGGGCTGAGTGTGACCCATACAGTATGTTCACGATCAGGGGCTGAGTGTGACTGATATAGTACATCCACTATCAGAGGCTGGGTGTGACCAAATGAAGTATGTCCACTATCAGGGGCTTAGAGTGACTGATAAAGTATGTCCACTATTAGGGGCTGGGTGTGACTGATACCATATGTCTGGGGCTGGGTGTGACTGATACAGTATGTCCACTATTAGGGGCTGGGTGTGACTGACACCGTATGTCCACTATCAGGGAATGGGTGTGACTGATACAGTATGTCCACTATCACGGACTAGGTGTGACTGATACAGTATGTCCACTATCAGGGGCTGGGTGTGACTGATACAGTATGTCTGGGGCTGGGGGTGACTGAAACAGTATGTCCACTATCAGGGAATGGGTGTGACCGATACAGTATGTCAACTATCACGGACTAGGTGTGACTGATACTGTATGTCCACTATCAGGGGCTGAGTGTGACTGATACTGTATGTCTGGGGCTGGGTGTGACTGATACAGTATGTCCACTATCAGGGAATGGGTGTGACTGATACAGTATGTCCACTATCACGGACTAGGTGTGACTGACACAGTATGTCCACCATCAGGGGCTGAGTGTGACTTATAAGATATAAGAGTATGTCCACTATCAGGGGCCGAGTGTGACTGATAGAGTATGTCAATGGCTTGGTGTGACTGATACAGAATGTCCACTATCAGGGGCTGGGTGTTACTGATACAGTATGTCAGGGGCTGAGTGTGACTGATACAGTATGTCAGGGGCCGAGTGTGACTGATACAGTATGTCCACTATCAGGGACTGGGTGTGATTGAGAGTATGTCCACTATCTGGGCTGGGTGTGACTGATACAGTATGTCAGAGGCTAAGTGTGACTGATACAGTATGTCCACTATCAGTAGCTGATTGTGACTGATACAATATGTCAACTATCAGGGGCTCAGTGTGACTGATACAGTATGTCCACTATCAGGGGCTCAGTGTGATTGATACAGTATGTCCACTATCAGGAGCTGAGTGTGAATGATACAGTACTTCCACTATCAGTAGCTGATTGTGACTGATACAGTATGTCAGGGGCTGGGTGTGACTGATACAATATGTCCACTATGAGGGGCTGAGTGTGACTGATACAGTATGTCCACTATCAGGGGCTGAGTGTGACTGATACAGTATGCCCACTATCAGGGACTGGGTGTGACTGATAGCGTATGTCCTCTATCAGGGCTGGGTGTGACTGAGAGTATGTCCACTATCAGGGCTGAGTGTGACTGATACAGTATGTCCACTATCAGGGGCTGGGTGTGACTGAGACTAAATGTATACGTCCAGGGGCTGTGTGCCTAATACTGTTTATATTGAATACCATGAAGATAGAAATTGAAATATGTACAATTTCCTTCAGCTGTTTATCAACAATTTTTTGAAACCTTAATTTATTCTGGTTTATTTGTAGACTAATCATAACATGATGTGTCTGTTTCAGCCTAGAAAATCTCAGCCTCTAACTCCAAGTTAAATATGACAAAATTGAAGGTTCAAATCCATTTAACTAGAAGTAAAAAAGATTCTGTATGCTTTGTCAATGGCGGGAGTTCTTGACTAGATGGAATTCTGGATACCTGTAATGATTTTGATACAATATAAAAGAAATCATTCTGAAACTACAATAGCTCCCATCTAATTTTCAAAGAACATTGTGATTGGTCAATGCCCCTTAGCCTGGAACCAATGAAATGACAAAGTGTGAACATTTTATTTAGCAATGACTTAAGTCTTATTGACCAAGGAAGGTTCTAGTAATACACTAGAATTATCCTCACTGCAGGTGTGTGATTTTCTATGTTCTGTGTTCTAGACTAGGATCTCCGGATCTCTTTTTCACGAACCCTATACAACTTAGAGATGCTGTACCCTACGCCATGACCCTCCCCATCTTATAGCCAGTTTTCTCATTATTTAATGTTGATATGTGCATCTAAACACCCGAATTATGCAAAATACTCATTCTATGTGTACGCATAGATCAGATAAAATTGTTCTCTCTCATGCATACAGATTATTTTGTGTTTCAATGGTGTAGAAAAGACGGGCTTCAATAATTTGCATACACAAGTGCAAATGTGTGTAGAAAACCTATACTAAAACAAAGTCCTGTAGAAAGTGGAAATTCTGTTATGTGTAGAGATACTGCTATCATAGGCAGCTTCAGGAAAGACAAAGGTTGTTTACAAGAATTGTTAGGGATTAAGTGCAAGTTGCTCCAGGGTACTATCAAATCTATAGAGCTAACAGGACCTGCGTATAACAGACTGGGAGTGGGCAGCAAGGGTATAATAAAAGAATGTGATTAGAGCTTCACAAAGAAAGAAAATATGATATAGCTATTTGTCATTCAAGAAATGTCTGAAGGTTCCAGAAATGGTCAGTAAATCAACTACATCCTTCTTCCTGTCATAATCACATTCTGTATTGTAACACCTAATATTTTAGTTCCTTTCTATATTTCCATAAAATGACTTAGACACTGTTTTATTGACCTGCTAAGTAATGTAACAACTCTAGTATACTGCTCTGTATCAAACCATAAAATCACATATGTACAGACTGGTACACTGTCACAATTTATTCACACAAAGCTACAATATATAATTAAGCAAGGAGTACCTCAAGGAAAGAACATTTGAGAGGAAACTCTAAAATCAAAAATTAATTAGAAAAAAAAGAAAGAATTTCAACCCCAACCAAAGCTTGGTGTGTGATGTAGAAATTGTTTAACACACACACTTGTCTCAAGTAAATAACCATGACTTATGTTTGATCTATAAACAGCTTGGTGTAAACTACTCACTATAAAGCTGATTGGCAGTGAACTCCAAGCTGTCATCACCTCAACAGACCAGTAGAGGTGTAAATGACCATTAGCCAGGTAAACATACACAGGCCTAATTGGCAATAATTATTAATTAAGCTAGTAGATGACCACCCTGGATAATTATCAATCAGTTGGACTCATCCACACAGGTGAACCAGGGAGTGGTTGGTATTTGTGTACCTGGGTTTTATCTCTCACCTGTACTAGGCTATGGGTAATGTTTACAGTTCCTCAGGAATAACATAACCTGTTCTACTAGGCAAAATTCTTAATTCATGTGAAACTACTATAAGGAGAGTTGATTCAATACACAACAAACCTACTTGAACTTTGAAATTCATGATTCATGATTATACAAGTCCACAAAAGAAACTATGACTAAATTAGTTGTTCTTTTTCCTTATCAAAAGAAACCCAATATTCAAACATTGTCAGATTTCCTCAAAAATTACCCCTTCAATTACTGACTATGATATTTATACTATATATTGCAATAACTGTTGGCTAAAATACATAGCAAGACATGACAAGATAATGTGACCAGAATTACATGAGACTTTTTTTTAATGAAATAAGGAATTATTCCAGATCTGCCAAGTAATTTTGCCGTTACTGACATCACATTTTGACAAAATCCAAATTTTTTGGAAATTATATAGCCATTTAAAACGACATTTAATTTATTATTTATAAAATTTATCCATTCCGACAATGCTCATAATTCAGGAGTCACACATGTATAGCTGCCAGATGCAGAAAATAGGACATTGTTTATATCAAAATGGTAGTACATAATGTTTGAGGGAATGAAATTGTCGATCTCAAGACTTAAGACATACATATGATCCCCACCAAAATAGCCAGCCCACGTCAAAGATATTGAATGTGTCTCGTCCGAGTGTGTGCACATGCCATTTTATTCTCCATTTGCTTGGCTGATATTTTGCATATCGATCTGTATTCAGACTGAGCTGTCTGTATATTCGTAGTTATTTTCTTCTAAAATCAGTGTTACAACCCGGTAAATGTATTACAGAGGTCGTGAACAAACACACCTAACAGCCCAATCCGCCATTTTGGCCAGTGTCAAATGGGTCAAACGAACTTTATTTCCATTTTGTATACACACCTAGTGTACGGACAACGTTTGGACAGATATAACATATGAACGTCAAACGGGTAAATTTATGACTTCAAACATAAAACAACTGATATATTAATTTGCCTTCACTGTAAACTGCGTAATTATTTTATCGTAAACGAACTCAAGCTGTAAAAAATCGTCGATGTTCAAAGGCAACCTAACAGACCGTATACATAGCGAATCGAATCCGCCATTTTGAAAGAGGACAGAGGCAATTTTTGGCATTATTCACGCTATATACACATTTTAAGTCATTAGCCTCCCAATAATAACACATAAATGACATTTACAATCATGCACATAGCGAAAAAACAACACTGCAACGACTGCATTATGAAAGAGATCTAAATCCGGTCGCTCAAGAATTGAAGGGTGTTCTCGGGCGACACATTCCCGCTTACCTTGCTAGTAGCAGTGGCAGCTCCACTAGTCACAACAGGATCATTAGTCACCTGCACTGTCAGGTGCTTGTTGTTTATGAGTGACCATGCACCCTCAACTTTACATGTTTGAAATTCATCACTGAAAGTCCTGAGATGGGGATCTCCAAATAACCCGCAGTGCTTATAGTTTCTTTGTCCTTCATACGAACACATAAATTCAGAATCTGGTACTTGAGGAAAATGTGGTACAGTATTTGCGGCTGGATCATATACTTCTCCATTAATTGAACAGTTTAATTCTTTTAATGCTTTTTTATTTCCTATTTTTTCAGACTGGAAAGAAAGACTTGTCTTGCATTCATAGCGATGTCCTTGCTTATTTATACATTTCACATAAGTACGAATAACTATGCACTTTGGATTGTCAGTGACTCCTTTTGGTAGTAAATCCATAAGAATCCCCGAATTAAGAGCTGCCGTTGCATCCTGGTACCTCGTCCAACACATTCCAAGGTCACATCCAAAAGCTGCAATAAACAATATTAAAACTACTGTATACATGTATTTTAAACATTCATATCACTGTTGAGTTCTTCATAATTTTTTTTAATCAAAAATTAAATTCTCTGCAACAAAGTCTACTTTTGTACTGACAAATTACAGATACATGTCCCTGCTTTGTAATATGAATTCTGTAGTCGATGATAATATAACATTGACATATCTTTGTTCTTTATGTTTTATGGAAAGTAATATTTATTAATATGGAAATGTTCATTGTAAAATTTTTCTTTACATTATTTTCACTGTATTTGTACAACATTTTTCACTTTACAATGTCAAACTTTGTTTTACGTTATCTAGGCTGAAATGTGCAACATTATAAAATTTATAATGTAAAATGTATAATTTTTTAATTTTTTTCTTTTCACAGAAATATGTAGAAATTTGTTTTACAATTTTTACACTATACAATGTGTTACTTTATGTAACCTTATTTAAACTGAAAAGTGCAGACTTTTTTTAACATCATATACACTACACAATTGATAATTTCATTTTACACAATATATACTACCTTTCAGACCTAGTTTTCCACACTTGAAGCTTGTAAAACTTTGCAATTTTATAAAGAATGGTAGTGCATGTTCAAGCAAAGACATATGGTTACATCCTGCCTTCACGTTAGCTTTCTTATACAATTTGATAAAAATATTTCTGTCTTAATTGAATATACAGATCTTCAACATTACCTTTTTTATGGTGCAGATTTGGAAATTTACGTCTTTGACATTATAACACACAATGCTTTTGGATTTCTTACAATTTCATGGTTTCGTATGGTGATTTAAAAGAATACTGCTTACTGAGTAACAGTTATTGTTTAACCGTTATCACTAAGGATTTACACGGCGAAACTGTCAACAATCTTATAAATACTTAACATGTAAACACGGTGAACAAAATTACTCTTAAATATTGCAGACACAATTGATCAATATTTTATGAAATGACATTAAGATTGAGAGAGAAACTAAATTCGATTTATCATCAACAATTAACAGCACGCGAGCAAGTCGGACTGTTTCTTACTACGGGAACTGAAACACCAACCAAGTGCACCCTTTAGCAAAACGTCTGATGAGCATGTGTTGGTGTATAATACACAACAAATACAAACCCGAATCGACACCAATTCCTATCAGGACGAGTAAAACCAATGCAGAAATGGGGGGCATGGGCGGATATGAGAGACAGCGAGTACCCATGCCCTTCCATAGAAATGATGGCAGAGCTAGATCCCGGTGAAATCCCTCTCCGTTTCGGGTGTAAGTTCGCTCCTCCCGCAGAGGTATACTCTGTCTGTGAAAATGAAAAAAACAAAAGCTCCGTCAAAAGACAAACAGATCCTCCTGGTTAGCTACCGCTTAATCCCAGTGTTAATCCTAATATACTAAGTCATTGCCTTCCATATCATCATGTTGGTTTCAAACTGGTATAATCCGTCAAAACAAAGTCAGATCGGAAGACTGTCTTCCACACCATGTTACGTACGTAAGTTCCCCGAGATCTAGCGATATTGGTGAGACACAAGTTCACTGCGGTAAAGTGGGTCAGGGGGCGGTACTTCACTTGTCCATCAACAGCTTCGCTGAGAGAGCTTTAATCTGATTGGCCTGGACGATTGGTAAGGTATCAACTATCAATAGAGCTGTCAGGGTACAAATTTAAACAACACTGGTCTAGTCATATATGATAAAGTATAGGAAAAAGTCAACTCTTATAAAAAATTATAATCATGTGTTTCATTTTCGAGTTTAAGCTTCACGGAAATGCTAAATCTATATTGTTATTGTTTAATTCAAAGTATATCAATGGCTTCAAAACTATGAAACTTTCTCTATCCGGTACATACAATATTTAGATCTCCGTTTCTGTTGTGGGAAAAATGATCTGTTCTAACGTCCCTGGTTCTAAGTTGCCAATGTTTTCAAGAGATGGTTTTTATTCTTATTAGGAAAAAGAAAAGTCTCTAAAGATTTAGAAAGAATGTAATAAACGGTTAGATACAATGTTCCGCTGGTGCAATTTGAAACCAGGGATAATAACAATAATGTGCCGGATTTAATTATTTCAGCAGTTGGTAAATGCAATTATGAGTAATCAAACGTGACTTGAACATTTGATAATAATCAAACATAAGAAATACAAATTCTGTTTATTTACTGATTTCAACATACTATGCACTTGCTTAGTCCAAACTTAACTGTTATACCTTTCACGCACGTGCTGTCACTAAGTTTACACGGAAGCCATACATTTTTGGGTCCCGTGTCACAGTTTTACAACAGCAGGCGATAAAAGGCGTGCAAACAAAACTGGCTGATACATAAACGAAGCCGATGTCTACAAAGTCCTCAAATTGATTCTGACGTTTATATCATTCATAAAGCTCTAGATGTTCTGACTGTTTAATCATTTATATTTTATTAATTCGTGTGAATAGAGTCATGATTTATTCAAAACTTCAGGCGATTGGCCCTCCCAGTTCAAATTAAACTTTTACACGCGAACGTGATTACTACAGTAGTCAAGGGGAAGCAACTCATGTGCGTCTTAGCTGAAATTGATTTCAAATCCGTTTTGTATTGATAAATATTACGCTACTCGATCAATTTCACGATATTATTTAAATCGGCTGAAGTTATTTAAGATAAAATGACCCACGATTTGCATCTGAACATTTTACATGGTTAAACACGCGTTTTCCCCAAATGTCATCTGGCATTAGTTCTTTAGCACATAAAAACAGGGAGATATTTATCATTTTAAAAGGCGTAACACATTAACGAAATCCCAATATAACGTTTGAATGCACATATAAACGTTAGCGCTATACAAAACGTTTTATAGTTGATTTTACATAAATTGTACTTAGTTTTTCGATTACGTTTAAATTTAAAGTGATACGTAATATATGTATATATTACTGAAAAACTTAACTTATCACCATTGGTAGATGAGATGGAAAGGAAAAACGAATGTTTAAAACATGTAAAATGTGACAAATATGTTAATTTTGCATTATTCTCTGTGTGTTGTATACAAGATGGTTCTTGGGAAATCTTCAGACAACTCCCCCAATCTAAATATTAGATGATCTTTTAAATGGAATATTAATGTACCATTGTGCTTGTTTATTGACAGTGAATTTTTCCATGTAACTGACTGAAAGTAGTGTGCATGATATAGACACTTACTACGTTTGCAAGGAGATACAGACAAGTCGAATTGTGGAAAAGCATGTTCATTTTTTTTCATAGATTCCAAATTCACCTTTGCTCTTGAGAGGATGATAAGACCGGTAGAGTGGTTAAACTCAACATAATGACGCGTTATTCATTGGTGTACGTAATTCCTTAGTGTCCAGAACCAAATCCGTGATCGTACAGTACCTAATCCGTTAGTGTACAGTACCTAATCCGTTAGTGTACAGTACCGAATAAGTTGATGTACAGTACCTAATCCGTTAGTGTACAGTATCTAATCCGTTAGTGTACAGTGCCTAATCCGTTAGTGTACAGTACCTAATCAGTTAGTGTACAGTACCTAATCCGTTAGTGTACAGTACCTAATCCGTTAGTGTACGTTACCTAATCCGTTAGTGTACAGTACCTAATCCGTGAGTGTACAGTACCTAATCCGTTAGTGTACATTACCTAATCCGTTAGTATACAGTACATAATCCATTAGTGTACAGTACCGAATAAGTTGATGTACAGTACCTAATCCGTTAGTGTACAGTACCTAATCCGTTAGTGTACCTAATCTGTTAGTGTACAGTACCTAATCCATTAGTGTACAGTACCTAATCCGTTAGTGTACCTAATCCGTTAGTGTACAGTACCTAATCCGTAAGTGTACAGTATCTAATCCGTTAGTGTACAGTACCTAATCCGGAAGTGTACAGTACCTAATCCGGCAGTGTACAGTACCTAATCCGGAAGTGTACAGTACCTAATTCGTTACTGTACACAGTAGCTAACCCGTTAGTGTACAGTACCTAATCCGTTTGTGTACTGTACCTATTCCGTTAATGTACAGTACCTAATCCGTTAGTGTACCTAATCCGTAAGTGTACAGTACCTAATCAGTAAGTGTACAGTACCTTATCCGCTAGTGTACAGTAGGTGTACAGTACCTAATCCGCTAGTGTACAGTACGTGTACAGTACCTAATCCGTTAGTGTACAGTACCCAATCCGTTACTGTACAGTACCTAATCTGTTAGTGTACAGTACCTTATCCGTTAGAGTACAGTACCTAATCCGTTAGTGTTCAGTACCTAATTCATTGATGTACAATACCTAATCCGTTAGTGTACAGTACCTAATCCGTTAGTGTACAGTACCTAATTCGTTAGTGTACAGTACCTAATCCGTTAGTGTACCTAATCCGTTAGTGTATAGTACCTAATCCGTTAGTGTACCTAATCCGTTAGTGACAGTACCTAATTAATTGATGTACAATACCTAATCCGTTAGTGCACAGTACCTAATCCGTTAGTGTACAGTACCTAATCCGTTAGTGTACCTAATCCGTTAGTGTACAGTACCTAATCCGTTAGTGTACATTACTTAATCTGTTAGTGTACATTACCTTATCCGTTAGTGTACAGTACCTAATCTGTTAGTGACAGTACCCAACTCCTAATTGTACATCTATATAGTATTTTGTTATTTATTGGTGTACGTTATCCGTCAGTATACATTCGTGTTGTATCGTGTGATTCGATGATGTACCTAATCCGGTTTTTGTGTATGATATCCAGTGATTTATTTGTGTACCTAATCCGGTTTTTGTGTATGATATCCAGTGATTTATTTGTGTACCCAATCCGGTTTTTCTGTATGATATCTAGAGATTTATTTGTGTACCTAATCCGGTTTTTGTGTATGATATCTAGTGATTTATTTGTGTACCTAATCCGGTTTTTGTGTATGATATCTAGAGATTTATTTGTGTACCTAATCCGGTTTTTGTGTATGATATCCAGTGATTTATTTGTGTACCTAATCCGGTTTTTGTGTATGGAATCTAGTGATTTATTTGTGTATCTAAACCGGTTTTTGTGTATGATATCCAGTGATTTATTTGTGTACGTAATCCGTTTTTTGTGTATGATATCTAGTGATTTATTTGTGTACCTAATCCGGTTTTTGTGTATGATATCTGGTGATTTATTTGTGTACCTAATCCGGTTTTTGTGTATGATATCTAGAGATTTATTTGTGTACCTAATCCGGTTTTTGTGTATGATATCCAGTGATTTATTTGTGTACCTAATCCGGTTTTTGTGTATGATATCTAGTGATTTATTTATGTACCTAATCCGGTTTTTGTGTATGATATCTAGTGATTTATTTGTGTACCTAATCCGGTTTTTGTGTATGATATCCAGTGATTTATTTGTGTATCTAAACCGGTTTTTGTGTATGATATCCAGTGATTTATTTGTGTACCTAATCCGGTTTTTGTGTATGATATCCAATGATTTATTTGTGTACCTAATCCGGTTTTTGTGTATGATATCCAGTGATTTATTTGTGTACCTAATCCGGTTTTTGTGTATGATATCTAGTGATTTATTTGTGTACCTAATCCGGTTTTTGTGTATGATATCCAGTGATTTATTTGTGTACCTAATCCGGTTTTTTGTGTAAGATATCCAGTGATTTATTTGTGTACCTTATCCGGTTTTTGTGTATGATATCCAGTGATTTATTTGTGTACGTAATCCGGTTTTTGTGTATGATATCTAGTTATTTATTTGTGTACGTAATCCGTTTTTTGTGTATGATATCCAGTGATTTATTTGTGTACCTAATCCGGTTTTTGTGTATGATATCCAGTGATTTATTTGTGTACCTAATCCGGTTTTTGTGTATGATATCCAGTGATTTATTTGTGTACCTAATCCGGTTTTTGTGTATGATATCTAGTGATTTATTTGTGTACCTAATCCGGTTTTTGTGTATGATATCTAGTGATTTATTTGTGTACCTAATCCGGTTTTTGTGTATGATATCTAGAGATTTATTTGTGTACCTAATCCGGTTTTTGTGTATGATATCTAGTGATTTATTTGTGTACCTAATCCGGTTTTTGTGTATGATATCTAGTGATTTATTTGTGTACCTAATCCGGTTTTTGTGTATGATATCTAGTGATTTATTTGTGTACCTAATCCGGTTTTTGTGTATGATATCCAGTG